CGAGTCATAATGAGACGGGGACGGCTAGCTTGAAGAGGTTGACGCGCTTGAGTGGACATTTGTTCAAAGGTCGCAAGTACACAGTGAAGTCCGCTTTAACGAAGAGCTCCGTTCCGCCAAAAAACTTCGTTAATACGGACTATTCGTTAAAGCGGACTTTTACCTATATAACAAACTTTCATATATAATCACGTGATATTCGTTAAATTCGTTTACTTCTGTGCATCCATTCTGTTTCTCTATTTAATTTTCGAAGTTAATAAAATCCTCTAAACATGTCTGTTTTTTTGCTACAATACTTTTTGCAACAATTTGTTTACGCAGTTGCTTTAGCTGACTATATACTTGAACGTCGACAAATCTTGCTGCTGACAAAATAAGACAATGTTATCAAGAGCCGTTACAGCTTGAACAAAAGAAACTTTTCTTTCTTCCTTAATATTTTCTTCTTCTCCTTCCTGTTCAACTTCCTCTTCTCTAACTGCTGCTACTATTGACTTTAAAAACGTCTCCTCTTGCTCATCATTATTATAATCAATATTCCCTATTGCTACTTCCTCAAAATCAACAAACTCACGAACTTCAGTTAAATTTTCACCTTCGAAGGGAAGTTGTTCAATCAAATCTCTGATATTTGATTCTAAGTCAGTCTCTACTACTACGTCCTCTGCTGAAACATGATTAAATGTTGTACGTGGTTTCTTTGATCCAGAACAATATTTGTCTTTAACTCGGGGACGTTTTTTGGAAGAAGATTCTATATCTAACAATGATGAGGCTTGTTCCTCACAATCACTTGCAACCTGAATGGGCGAAGAATTTGACATTTTTATTACAAGCAGTGGTGTGTTCAAATCTCTATATACAGTAATAATACTATAACGAACTTCGTTATAATATGCCGGACTTCGCTATTGCACCAAAATTTCGGTATATCATACTAATTTAGGGGCATGTCTAAAGCGGAGCAGATCCCTCGCAATTCCATTGGTCAAATTTGTATGGCAGCCAATAAAACTGCAAATACAGGATCACGTTCTGCTCCGCTTTAGCCTTTCCCTAATTTAGGCAATCTTCGTTAAACTGAATGGTTTATCTTATAGTGGGTTTGAAATTTCTTCGCTATATCGTTATACAGATTTTAATTATAAGTCTTCGTTAAACCGGGAGCTAAGCATATAAAAATGAATCGGTTCCTCGTTATAGGGCTATCTTCGTTAAAACGGACCTTCGTTAAAGCGGACTTCACTGTGTATATATGAAATAAAAGAGGAAATTATATGTGTTGCGATGTACAGTACAATCATTATGTGAAAGTGATATTAAACGTTACACATTACTGCTTATTACGTAACATAAGTATATATCACGTGAGCCTCAGCAGCCGCGACATTAATTAACAATAGCAAATTAGATCGTTCAAGTCAATGTTTTATTGTCCTTATTTAAGTGGCTAGTGTTACATCAGATAATAATAAACGCTGATAGAAAGATACAATGGGTTCAAATCCTATTATTAGCTTTTGAAAGATAAACGGTTTGATTTATACCCGACGAATTAGAATATGCATACTTTTATAAAAAAGAACATAAATTTCAGTAGTTGAACTTTATGACATCCGCTAGCTTCGTAATCTACGAATTTAGTGATACATAATAATAAGGATCGAATTATTAATTTGTACCACATGAAATAACTTCTGTATGAAACCGCTGGATTGCGCTTTGTGTAAAGCATAGAAAAATAGTTAATTTGAGTTTACCACTGAAAATAAGAATCAATTCTACATCATGACACACAGAGAATAATCAATATCGTTGATTTATCCGCCTTGCAACAAGAATACGAGACCATCGTGGATTTTGCTGCTAATGATTTTTTACCAAATGCATTTGCTACTACACCACAACACGTATTAGCAAATTCTCATACAGTAACATCAAGATCTACAACGATCGAGCCACAATACAATATATCTGATGTTCAATATTGGCGTCCATTATCTCAATTAATAAAGAAATTACGCTTTCTTCATGAGGAAGCATATGCACAGTTTCCCTGTGCTCCGTGTTGTTATTGTGGCAGACTACTTTACCCGCTCAAGGCTGTATGGGTTTGCAGAATTCAAACTCACGTTTTCTATTTGAAGAGTTATATCCGGATGTCGCTTTACTTGAAAACTTAAAGCGACCAAATACGTTTGCTTCATGCCGAGCTTGTCGTAATCCACCACGAAAACGCTGTCTTAGACTTTGTCAACTATGTACCCAACTTCGATCACTTTACGTTTCAACCTTAATTCCACAATTTGTGTCACGATAATCAATCCTTCTAAACGTTTATATCGGCAAGCACTTGTCTCGTAACAGAGTTGGTATAATGTTATATCTCGGTATATAAATTCTATACACATGTATAAACATATGACTATAATTATCAAAATTTATTTGCTAAAACGAACGCTTCTTAACTTTAGCTTATATGTAAGCTATAATAGCTTCTCTAAACGTATGGTTTTCTGATTATTTTACCGCCCTAACACACCAGTAATTATCGGATTAAAAAGTATTGCTAGAAATATAACCATATCGATGTAGAAATAATTATTTCTTTTTAAACATTGGAAATATTTTAACAAATGTCAAAGTGTAGATCTCTATTTGAACGTTGGACCAGTGGTAAAAACGTATGGGACATTCACTATTACTGAAGAAGGCGAAGCCTCTAAAATTATTTTTTACTCTAGTTAGTATATGAAGTTAAGTTGAAAAAAAATGCATTTAAAAAAACATTGTATACGTATTATTCTCAAAGCACGTACCTTACCAGTATGAAAGAAAGAGTCTTAGTAAA